TATATATATATATATATACCAATATATATATCTGTAGTTTAAATATCATTTTATGTATATCTTTGTACTTGTATTTTCTTAATTTTGCATACACATATTTATATATAAGAAGTATACTTTTTATTTTGTTTAGGTTATACATATTTACCTTTACCATCCCTGTAATTTGGAGATTGTCGCAGAATTTGTCGTATATTCCCTCGGTCAAAGCTTCGTTCCTATTCTATTCTTCCATACATGTCACCTTCAAGACCTATGCTTTTAGCTACGTCTTCACCTCTTTCACGCACACATATATTTATACATTCTGGCACATGTGCATATTTTCAGCTCTATTTTTGAAGTATGGGAGACGCAGAGTACTGGGCCCAGCAGGCGCTGCAGTTTGCGGCGCAACGGCGCGAGCGTGAATCAGCGAAGGCTAAGGCCGAGGAGGAGAATAAGGAGTTGCATGACATGGAAATAGAAGACGATGAAGATGGAAATGGTATGTTTTACACAAATGCCAAGCGCTTCTATTGGAGAAGTTGTATCTGTGTTCTTTCCGTACCTACGCATATGCTGATTAGTTGGCTGTGGTGTGTATTGTCTCTATGAGTGAGGCATGATCGAGGCTAGCATGTCTGTCTCAATGTTTTACCCTTGCGTCCAGATCATTTGCTCTATCTACTCTACACAGGTTACATCAGTTCATATTCATACAAACAGTTTGCTATAGATACATGTATAGAATCTCTTGCAATTCAGAACATTAGTATAATCATACGCCCAGTCGTCTACCAACAGTTGATTACTGCTATTTGTACCCCGATGGCTTATAAACGAATCCTTCGTACGTCTGCGTTTCACTGCATCGCAGAAAATGGTCTGTCCGGGCCCGCGGCTGCTGAGGCAGCATTGTACGCTGCCGCCACATCACACATTGCCGGCGCTCCTAACAGCCAAGTACACCCGCAGCAACACGCACAGGGACATGCACCACCACCACAGGAGTATATACAACACCACGCACAAGGATACACACAGCAGCACGCACAGGCTCATATTCAGGCGCAAGGTATGCATCAGCACGATTACAATGGGGAATACAATGCGTCTGCGCAGCAAGGTGGGTATGATCAGGCGAATATGGGGTACAGCGCACAGCAGATGCAGCAGAACATCTATCAGGCATACGTGAATATGCACCCCCATATGTCTGAGGCGCAACAGCAGGCAGCTCAGGTAAGAGGATTTCTACACGTGTATTAGTGTATGCTTCGTATACAATATATATATACTTATACATTGGGCAGTTTATCGTATCGTCTTTGTATATCTTATTGTACATTGCATTCTCGACTTAGGTATGTGGCTCTATAGATAGATTGCATCGCGTTGTAGACGAATAGTCTCGGTGAACCGTTCTGAGCGAAAATACATCACACTTGCAGGCCCAGGCACATGCGCAAGCCGCCGCACAGGCCGCCGGGATCAACGTACAGTGCCCGTATTCACAACAGATACAGGGAATGGGGCATGTTCACGCGCAGTTGGGGAATATGAATTCACACATGCAGACCCAGCAACCGCAGTCGCAGCCACCACAACCACCGCCGATGGATATGATGGGTTTGAATAGCATGGGTATCAATATGAACACGGGTATGAACATGGGCATGGTACCGCAGGGGGTGCCCCAGCACCTGTACTTTGTGCAGCAGCAGCTGGTGCAGGAACAGGCCTTGCAGCAACAGCAGTACCAGCAACAGATCATGCAGCAAGAACAGCACTTGGCCATGCTGGAGCATGAGGCCCAGCAAGAGGCGGATATGGAGGCGGATAGGGAACAGCGCGAGATGATGTTACGAGAGCAGCGCAGTAGACTGAGGCGCTTGCAGGAGGAACAGGTGGGTACAAGGCGTTAGCTTTGTGCATAATATATATATATATATATATTATCTGTGTGTGTGTGTGTTGGATATGCATGTGGTGCTGGTGTGTATATGACTTTTCTTTTGCTTATTGTACGACTGCGTGCCCAGGGATTGAGTGTATTCTGCAAGTGGAGGCTGATCGACTCTAGCGGGCTCGTGCACAGTGCTTCGGGTGGTGGTTCTATTAGCCCGGTAGGACATTTTCTGTGTGTCTACTCACTATTCAGGGTTAATCATGATTCCAATTACACAGATTACATGAGTAATCCTTGTGATGAGTGTCGTAGGTAATTTTTTCGAATTCATCCTTGTTCTTGGATTCCCTTTTAATCCTAAACCAATTGGCTAGCTACGGCCCTGCGTCTATACTAAGCGAGTATAAACGCTTCTGTGTCTGATACTTGTCATACCGACTTATATCCTACCAGGCCGCGGAATTACGTCAGCAAGAAATTCGGAAACAGGAATTACTGGCGTACCAATACCAGCAACAACAAGAGCAGAAGCAGAAGGACAAGCAGAAACTGCCTGCGTGGATCAGAGATGCGCTCGCGAAGAACGAGGAGCAGAAGCGCAAAGCCCGAGAGAAGGAGGAGCGTCGAATGCAAGAGAATGAGGTATGTTGTGTTGTGTGGAATGTTCTGGGGTGGTGTGTGAATGCTAAGTGTATATGTACCGTGTATGTGGTTATGAAACAGGATGCAGACTCGCGTCTGTAGGTGTAGATGATTTTCTGATGTGAATGCATATATGCCTTGCCTCTGTATAAATTCCTAGCTGCAATCGCCAGACGCGGATGTGTGCACATCTACTGATACGTGCCCTCCGATGGTAACCTTTAAACACAGGCGGAGAAGAACAAGTACAAGGAGCGAACCGATGGCAAGTCACGGTGGGATGATGATGATGGCAGTGATGAGGAGAACACAGATATTGAGAAGAAGGCCTCTGCAATGCCACAGCAGCCCCCTCAAAGCACAGCCGCGTACAGTGTGACTCCGAACGTCCCGAGTTTTAGTACCTTCCCAGTCGCGCCGATGGCACATAGTGACCCGGTAGAGAGGAGTACTGTGAAAAAGGTGCCTGTCTGAACTGATTCAAGTTTTTGTGCGACTCGTGCGATTTCTTTTTTGGAGGGAATCCGATTTTGTATTGTTGTACTTCAGGCTTATCCAATCTGTGGGATATTGGAGCGTGATTGAGCTATTTTTGCGGTTTGTTTTTGTGTATTAAACCGTCTTCTACGCGGAAGCTCGAATGCCAGTAGCGCATATGATATTGTGCTTTTAGTAAGCAATTGGTTTCGGAGGTATCGGTGCCATTTCGTCAATGTTATACAGCAACTCGATTCGCGACTGCTGTTAATTGAATTTGGTTGTTTCAAATCTCCAATTCTTTATAAGTACCTTTCATTTAACGGCTATTATTGTGCACTCTTGTATGGTTGTTGTAAACCTATATATCACAAACATATTCTTTCACGCGGCCACGCTGCAGAAACGAGCGATCAGGGAAGTCTCAGTAGATTTGGAAGCCGATATGACACCGGAAGCTCGGGCGAGGCTGGAGGTAAGTTCTAGTGGTGTTTGGGCACACACTCTTCTGTGGTTGCATTGCCTAAGCCACGTTGAGTCGCTTGCATTACAAGCCAGGGCGGCATTGTTCATGGTGTGCCGGTTGTATTCTTTTTCCCAGCAGTATCTTATTGGATTCGTAGCTGCAGGCGCGTACGCTTCACATTTTGTCGGTTCTTTTTCTGCTGTTTTTTTCTTTGCTTTCTGTGTGCAATTTCCATCGAACGAGGTCATTTCGAGATAGCTTCAATTATTTCGCTTTGTACCGGTTTCCGCCCTGAGTGTTGAATTCGTAGGCTCGCTTTGCATTTGCCGGTTCTTGTTCTTTGCTCTGCTATCCGCTTGCTAAATCCATCAAAAGAGGCTTTCCTGAGTTAGTTTTAATTATCCTGCTTTGCGCTTTGTCTCGGGTTCCGCATTTGCTTCGAATTTTGTCCCATGTTATATTTTTCACACCGGGCATGATGATTCCGAAATTGCACCCAAAATAAAACCACCACCAACCAAATCGCCATACTCGATGACCAAACTACAACCTCACCAGATGTTAAAAGTAAGATGGTTGTTGGTCGACGTATTGAAAGAAGTAACAGATAGCATGGTTACCAATGTTGTTCGAAATTCTCTCGGTAAGTATAGTGTGAGCGTCCTCTTTTCTTCGGCGTTTGCGCGACCGCCCTGCCATCGCACCCTTGAGTTGAAATACTGTAAAAGCATATAGCCCCGTGCGCACTTTCGATAAATAAACTATCTGATCCACTTAATTCGAATCGAGTGCTGAGTGTTTCTTTGAATTTGCACTTGTGCGGACGATTATGTGATTCTGGGTGATGTGGTGCTCTATTGCATAAACTGTTTCTCTGTTCTTATATGTCCGATTCCGGAATGGACCCATACGATGCGATGTAGCGTATGCGTCCATTTCTGCGTATTGTGGTAGTTGCAGCTGATGTGTATAGTGGAGGCATGCATGTCTTGGTCGTGCCTATATCTAATCATTAGTTCTCCTTGAGCTAATCCATCTCTTCTCTTTCTCATTCGCTTTACGCACCGCTTGCTTGCCCTTGTCTTTTCCTGACCCCCTCCGACTGTCTTTCTGGATGTTTCGGTATGTTTCACGGGTGTGCGCGCTCCATACACGCGTACTGTATTTTTATTATCTTGTAAATGTATATGGCATATGCCTTTCTTTCATTTGTATGCGTATGTTCGTGTGTTTCCTTTCACTGATTCGTATATCTGCGTTTGGACCATGGTATCCGCCCTACTTTGTGTATACAAATGGTATGCACGTCGCATCTATGCGCATAATGATCGTGATTGTGTGATGTGCAAATCGCTATGCGATGAGTAGGCCTGGAACCGAAACGCCCACCACAAATTGAGCCAAGAAAACGTAGTCGATTCTCCGATGCTCCAATAAGTCCCGGAAGTCGCGATGTTCGGAATGCACAAACTAGTAATAACAAAGCAGCAGAGAAAAATGGGGAAACCAAGAAGCTACAAAGTTTGATCGCGTACGCTTCCGAATCCGATTCGAATTCGAATTCGGATTCTGAATCGAATGCAAACGACAGTGGTAGTGAGGCCGAGGGTGGGACAGCGGTTCGGAACTCTGGCACAGCTCTAAATAGGATGAGCAATGAGCGTATGCCCACCCCTCCGCGCATCCGTACAAGGGAACGACCAGAGTCATCCTCAGAGGACAGTGACGAAGAACAAACAGGTACAACAGCACCCCCTGTGACGACTGTAGCTGGGAGTACAGTACATTCGGGTGCAACGAATTGCAGTCTAGATTCGGATATAGCTACCTTGGAAAACACTCAAGGTGTATTCAATTCTGGCCGTCTGAGGTCATCGGATAATAGTACTCAGATGGTAAGCGACAGTGGGCCAGATCTGGCGGACACCACCCTAGCTGAGCCACAGGCTGATACTGATGGCAGAGGTTTGGTTGCAAGTGAAAGCAAATCTGGGAAGGAAGATGATGCTTCGAAGAAAACGAAGGTCAGTGAGCGGTCCACGAGTGTGTGCGCAAAAAGAGCTGGCGTGCTGGAAGGTAACGAGACAAGTGTACACAAGGTGCACAATAGTCGCACCTCTACCCACACTAAGAGGAGTACCAGTCGCACCTCTACTCACACTAAGAGGAGTACCAGTCGCGGTAGAAGCCGAAGCCGCAGCAAGCACAGGAGTGAAAACAAGGGAGAGCGAAAACATTCGCGGCGTAGCAGACGCAGTCGTAGTGGGAGCAGCAGACGTTCAAGTTCACCATCCCCATCTAAATCAGCATTGAGAAGCAGAAGCAAGCGATCTCGAAGCAACGAGAAGAGGACTGATCGCAGCAGGAGATCACGCAGTCGTAGTGGTAGTATGGGTAGAGGGAAAAGCCGGAGCAAGCCAAGTACTATCAGCCGTAGTAAGAGGTCGCGGAGTAGGAGTAGAAAGGTACGCAGTAGGAGCGAATCGCAGAGTAGTGGCAGAAAGTCTAGAAGTCGAAGTGGAAGCAGGGATAGGCAGAGGAGGAAACGGAACAGAAGTGTGGATCATGGTAGCCATCAGAAGGAGCGTAGAAGTAGCAAAAAGGGGCATGGGGATGACAACCCATCTAAAAGAGGACACAGGGAGGATAGTAGCCCGACCAAGAAAAGAAGGGACACTAGTGGAAAGCGCAAGGCATCGAGAAGTCGTCGGAGCCGTTCACGGACGAGTAGTCGCAGTCACAGTAGAGATGTAAGGCGTGAACGTAAACGTGAGAGGGGGAGGGATATTGACCACGACAGAACACGAGACAAAGACAAGGATGATCGTAGACGTAATCGAAGATAGGCTAGGCTATCTATCCCGTGCTTGAAAGAGCGCATTTCAAATGAATTGATTTGTGCTTAGGAATTATGATCGTAGCCGTAGTCGAAGATAGGCTACTATCAATCCCGGTCTTGAAAGAGCGTGTATGGCATATGATTTTTTTTGTGCTTGGAAGTTGAATGCCGAGTTCTAAGGTCTCCTGGCAATGTGATGAAGTCGAATCCCTGCATATCCGTTGCAGAGAATTAGCTTGGCGCCGCGACGTGAACCGGTTCGCTGTATGCCGCGAACCGAACCGATGCGTTGTCTGCAAAAATTGAAAGGCCCCTACCATTTATTTCGGCAATAATGTATGTATCCCACCACCACAGCCAACATTAAATTGTGCATTGCGATTATCTAGTCATCAACTATAGTATTTTTTTTAAAGTACTTCGTTTACATCGACACAAGTATAGAAGTAGCACACATTCACATTTCACTTTGTATATGTTTTGCAATATTGTGCTTATCCGCTGATGAGAGAGCATGGAAAAATATCGACTCATGCGTCTCCTAGTCATCGACTTTCACGTGAAGCACATCTACAAATCTACATGAACATAGCATAGATCGTGGCCTTCGATTGTTTCTTCTTTTTTTAGTTTTTTTTTATAATAATTAATTATAATTAAAATATCGCTCAATAAATTTACAATGATCTATGTCGCACAATGCAGCTGACTGTTCCGTAGTTTAGAACAATGTCAGACTAATGTTCCGTAGTTTAGAACAATGTCAGACTAATGTTCCGTAGTTTAGAACAATGTCAGACTAATCACGCCTACCGCAATTATGATGAACGACGAGGCCGATAATGCCACTGCGGCACTGTCACTGTCATCGGTTGCTGCAACCTCCTCGGACCCTGTGACTACACCGCTGGCCGAGATACTTGCTGGGCCATGTCCGTCTTGTGCAGGGTCTGAAGCTGACTGAACTCCAGTATTCCCTGTGTCTGTGGATGCTTGTCGTCTTCGGCGACGAACTGAGGAGGGATTAGTCTCATAGGATACATCAACCAGAAGACGGAGGTCAAAGAGGGCACTGTTACCTGGGCCTGGGTTTGTGAACGCGGCGTGGACTGCATCGTGGATTTTATACTGAACTAAGAAACTTTGATCTGCCGCACATAAACCTAGGTTATTACAAAGGAGTCCTGCTTCGTAGGCTTCGGGGTCGTCTCTTGTGCTAGTGTAGTCGGTACCAGGGGTCAATGTGCCGTCAATTTGGGGGTACTTCTTGCCCAGTATTTCTGTGGTGTCCAAAGTGTCAGTATACGCGGTTTCTCCATCATCGCTTGATCTCGCCTGACTTTCCACTATGGTTACCTCAGTTACAGCCAATCCACTGAAGTCTATACGAGCGTACGCGAATCCGCCAAACATTAAAGCCTCGATTGATGTACTTCCATCGGGGAATGTCGTTTCAACACCGGTGGTGGGATCTGTCACAACCCATTCGGATGCACCTTGCGCACGATTTTCAGGATTAACGAAAATGAATCGATCGACCTTTACCGCATCTTCAATGATTATGTCCTTACCACAGAAGTTTTCAGAAGCTAGAGTGAACTCAATGGTGGTTTTATCATTAGGTTGATTAATTGGACAATCGGCGGCAGGCAATGTATTGTAGCAATCGATCACCACGTCTGAGATGGTATACGTACCGTCTAATATACACTCGTCCATGTCATGCGCGAGTTGGATATACGCGTCCTTGGTGCACGAGAAGCTGTCGCCCTTATAGTCGGTAGCTATGCACTCTGGCATGACAATATACTCCCCATTGGCAGTGCCGCAATCTCCGGCTCCTAGATCCCCAGTACACAGCAAAGCTATGTTGGCTGTTTCGCCTCCATTAGCAATCTCAGGATCCATGGTGATCACAGAATATGGTAAACTTAGAGCGTATGTGAGAGTATAGTAAGAAGTAGATGCTCCCTCATTAATGGCCTGGGCTGTAATGGCAGTGTCAATCGCGAACGGCGAGTACACCTTGACACCGGTGGTGACGGCTGCAATCCTATTCAAGAGAAGAACGCTTGTTGGGATTGTCACCTGTCCACTACGAGTTACGGTTTCTCCGCCAACGACTGTTGGTTCCTCGTACTCAAATATGATGTCCGACGAATATCTTGCGTATTGAATGTCCGTGTCGTCGCCTTCTATGACAACATCGGTTTCGTAGGTAAACTCACAATTAGCTCGGAGGGCAACAACACTCATCTGGAACACCATGCGATCGATACAACCAAGTTCTTCATTAGTTTGGACAAAGGACTCCAGAGAAGTACCTGCATCGCAGTTGCCTACGGCAAAGAATGTGAATTTACGATTGAAGCCAACTGGCCAACTGACAGTCCATTGAACACTCTTGCTATCAACGATAGTATTTAGAGTGGTATGTTCCTGAGTCAGAGTAAGGTTGTTTGGAGCTAGAGTTGAATCAGTGACACCGGTGCACAAATCATACTGTGTCGAGTCTACCGCTACATCGCAAGCTGTGCCGCTGAATAGGGAACTGCAAAGGCACGCTTCACCGGTATTGGTGGTGAGTGTTAGCGAAGCGCCCGCTTCAGTACATTCTGCTGATGTACTGCCGAGAATGGCAGCTCCGGCTACTATGAGGGTTGGTAAGTAGTACATGTTCTTTGATTTGCTTGTAGTTTTTTAAATGCACAAGTGTGAATGTGGATGTGAGACTTGTCGGGATTGGCCTGCTTTTTATACGATTCGAAACGTCAGCTATTATAAAAACGAAACCTGGTGCAGTATGCACATTCATTATTTCGTGTTTTTTTAAGTACGCGACGGTATACGATGCAAATCATACGATACTGCATTTCATTTTACAAAATCCAATAATCATCACTATATCCATGGCCTTCTGTATAGCTTCCTTGTTCTTTTTCAGGAGGTTATGACCTCTGAATGGCGGTGTCTCATCGAAAATGCTTTTTGTCTCCCAGCGGAGAACCCATGCAGTGTTTTCTGCAGAGTCCCTGATCCAGATTCCAGAGGGCCACAATGCCATTTAAAAATACATACATATATTGAGTCTTTTTCAAAGAATTTCCCAAGCACTCCACGAGTTCACGTGCCAACGTAAGGCAGCTGGCTGTGCCAATTTCGTGTCGGGCTGGGTACTATTTTTTTTTCAAAATATGTGGCACAGCGGCACATTAAATACAACGAAAGATTCTTATTTTAGTATTTGTTTTTAAACAATATCGGCCATTCGTCTTCGGACTGGCTACTCTGGTTTAGGGTTCTATGGTGGTACAAAATCGGTGGGGGGGAGGGGGAACTTTAAATTCCAATTTTGTCCTATTTATATCCAAATACAAGGACTATTGTCAAAACAATCCAAATAAACCCTTTGTTTTTTTTTAACTCAAAAATATTTCCCTATTGTAGCACGTCTCAAAACTAGCCAAATAAATCACTATAGGTGTCAAACAACACCCTAATATATATATATATATATATATATATATATTTATATATAGGTGCCAAAATTTAAAATCCAAAGTTGAGGCTCTGAGGGCCCAAAATCGGTGGGGGGGGAACCCTAAACCAGAGTAGCCAGTCTGAACAGACTATAAAACTCTGTATTAATAAATACATACAGTACATAAATACATACTTTGATATGTTTTTTTTTGTTTTGTAAAACAAAACATCAAAGGAGCCCCCTAAGAGACTATTTCTCTTATTAGTAAAAAAAAATTTAAACAATTCTATTTAAAAGAAAAGCTGCAATCTTTTTAGTGGGTTAAATATATAAATTGTGTTAAAAACAGCTAAAGTAAACGCGATATTTTTTCTATATTTTGTTTTTTAGCATTTGTATTGTTCAATTTACTATTTAGGCGGTTCGGATGTGCTACTTTGGTTTAGGCCCCCCACCCCCCCTCCCCCCTGGTTTTTGGGACTTAGAGTGCATTTGTGACTTTTAACCTCAGGTGTATTTTCGATACTTATGGGCCTGTTTTGGATGCCACACTCAAAAATATACATAAAATATTAACAAAGTTCAGAGTTCAATATTCAAAACTGATGTTTTGGGCGAATTTAGAGTATATATTGGCTTCATATTGACTTCGTATTGGTTTTGAATTGCCTATATTTTGGCTTTGAATTGGCTTCATATTGGCTTTGAATTGGCTTCATATTGGCTTTAAATTGGCTTCATATTGGCTTTTAGTTGGCTTCATATTGGCTTCATATTGGCTTCATATTGGCTTCATATTGGCTTCATATTGGCTTCATATTGGCTTTTATTTTGGCCCCAAAATTGAGAAACGTATTTTTTTTAACTATTGAGACCTAATCTGGCCTGAAACTCTATGGGTACAAATAAGGGTCAGGACAAAATTGTAAGTTATCAGCTCCCCCCCTGGTTTTCGGACCCTCCCCGGTGGCGAAACCAAAGTAGCACATCTGAACCGCCTTAGAGGGCTATGTATGTATTTTGTAATATATATAGTTGTAAATATTTTATACTTTTTTTAAAAACAAATATTTGAGAGCAACAAAACACAAGAGAGAACGAGACGTAAATAGATAAATAGTGACTCAGCGACTCAGCGAATCAGCGACTCAGTGAATCAGCGAATCTATACATACTACACCAGAGGCTCTAAAGGTATGTTGAAATGCTCTAAACTTCTAGTAGTACTATCTTCTATCTGTTGTGTTCAGGCAAGTATAAGATTGAAACAGAAATAGATCTGTCGCCATGTCGGCGACTCGCCACCTCTTCAAGTCCAGACTCTTACTCTGAGAGACGTTCACTAGAGTCTAGACACTTCACTCCAGACTCCAGACTCCAGACTCCAGCCTGCAGAAGTCCAGAGTATCGGGCTCTTGGCTTTTCTTACTTCTGAACTGCACATCGAACTCTATTGAAGTCTGAACTCTGAGCTCAGACATTTCAAATTCTCTGAAGTCTGACTCTGAACTCTCTAGAGAGAGTCCATGCAGTCTGAACTATTTACTCTGTATTCTGAACTCTGAAGTCTGAAGTGACTCTGAACTCCTCAAATTCTCGACTCGAGGGAGCCTGAGACTGGAACTAATCATTACATTTTACGTTGCAACGTTTATGGTCCTTAAAATATAGTTGGGTGCATTCTCCAGGTCAGATAGTCAGACCTGTTCTAGGGCGCCACATTAGCTCGCCAAAATGTCTATCTAAAAGCTAACTGAGGCATCTACCATAACATTCTATTGGAGCCTGGAGGTCTGGACCTCCAGCTACCAAGCTCACCCATTGGCCCTCAGGACCTCGAGCCTACCTCAAGGAAAACCCTGGTTATATATACCGGCATATAGTACCGTGCGGCCGTTTTCTCATATTTAGAAAATGAAACACATATTTTAAGTGGTACCAAACAACGTACTTAGCTGCTATGGTGCATTTATTTTGCTCACATCAGCCGGCTCAATATATATATATATCATGCACGTATGCACGCATGAATATATATGATATAGGTATGTATATAAGTATAATATGTAAATATATTCGTAACGGGACTAAAGAACGGCTAGAAAATATATATCGCAAGTGCTCACGTTGCTTTGCAAGTTCCTTGTCAAACTTACTGTCATCATTCGTGTTAACTGCCCACCGTTTTTGATTGGTCAGTATTGAATTTCGTAGCCAAAATATGGAAATAGGTTATATATCTAGGTCGGATTTGTGACTATTTTCAGGCCAAAATATTTATTGTAAACGTTGCAGCGTTTATATATCAAAAAGTATTTATAAACCGCATTGCCCAAGAGGACATAAAACGTTGAACTTTTCTAAAAAATATTTAAAACAAATCTTTTCCTTGAAATAATAGAACAAAAATGAGGTTAAGACTGAACCCAGAGTCCCAGAGGGGCAGACCCCAGGGCCCAGGCCTAGGGCCCAGACTCCAGGTTTCCAGTTCCAGACCCAGTCCTAACCTAAACTTTATTTTTTACTCTCTCTTTGTGTACACGTTTGTGTTGTGTGACTTGTCTTGTCACTCTCTTCTTGTAGTGTGATGTCATGATGTGATGCGACTGTGCGCCGTGCGGTGTGCGACTGTGAGTGTGCGGGTTTGTGTCTGTGCCCTGCGGACTCATTTATCTATTTTGTTTTGTTGTTGTTTTTAATTTGTTTTTGTTGTCTTTTATATAGAAAACAAATATCTCTATTGTTTTTTTATATATTTTTAATAATTATAAATTTTAAAAACATTGACATTATATATATGGGGGGGGGGCCTTTTTTTAAACCTGTGAGGCTGTGTCCATAGTCCATAGTCCATACTGTCCAAAACTCCAAATTCAACTGTTCATGCTGCCGCACTGTGTACCGTCTGCCCTGCCACAGGCACAGAGTCATAAACACTGGCTCACTGGTGGAGTGTAACCTGTGGTCCTCGTTTAATTTTCTAGACCATACTTGGCCCTTGAGGCTTAGGTCTTGGCCTGTGGGCCTGGGGTTTTGGGGCTTGGGCTTTGGGCTTTGGGCCTTGGGGCTGTATTTTAATTTAGTCTATACATAAATATTAAATAGCCCGAAGCCCAAAGGCCTCCGGTGTGCTTTGATGAATACAGAATAAATCATAAGCGCCCGTGACTCGCCCGTGAGCCTTCTACTTTGTATTCAAATTTTAGACGGCTATGTAGTAAATAAATATGTTGAAAACTTATTTATGTACTTGAAACACAAGAAGCTACAAGAAGGCTATGAATGCCTGTCTGATTTAGAAGGCTATGCTAAGCCGCTATGAAAATACAAAATATTCACATACATAGCCCCTATAATATATATATAATTATATATAGTATATACTTTTATATATATATAAAAACAGAAATGTTCCTTTTTAGGAGGCTACTGTATTTACAATTGCAATTTGCATGGGTCCTATCACTATGTATGTACGCCCCGCCTACACACGGACGTTAGTCCGTTCAGCCATATTTTCTTTCTTCTCTCCCTCTACTCTCTCTACTACTCTAGTGAGAGCTAATAGAGAGAGCAGAGATAGTTATGATAATTTGTACATATTTAATCAAGACTATGACTCACACTCTCTACTCTCTCTCTCTCTCTAGAGAGTAGATTGAAATATTCGGACCTAAACTATCCAAAAGGTGGGTTGACAAAATCCGAAAATCGAGTATGTATGTAATTATGTATGTACTATTTTATTTCAGACGAAATTGAATGTCCAATGCTCGTCGTGTCGTTATCTTCTTTTAAATTTTTTAACAAAGCATAACCAATAAGCTACCCGCCTACTGATAAAGTGAAAACGCAATCCTGATTCCCAAAGAGAGGTGCGAGTACTACCAGGAGTGAGGCATTCCCAGAATCCCAGCATTGCCAGCAATAAAAGTCAATGACCAGCACTTACAAATTTGATATATGTATATATAAATAATATATACATACATATATTATATAATATATACTTTTTAAAAGGAGTACTTTACTATTTTGTTGAATAAAAGGAATTTACATAGGACTTCAGAACCTCCAAGAAGTCCAAGTCTATTGATTTTAAAGTGAATGAGAACCAGTAATTTTGAAGCCGTTTATCAAATTGTAGTATTTTTAAAAGTTAGTCGT